ATAAATTAAATCTGTAAAATTTTTAAAAATTTAAAAACTATTTAATATTTTGTTTCATTAATTGAAATTGACTGATAATTACAAAAATATTTTATACATTGATTTGAATTTATATAACAAAGTATCAAATAATTTTTAAATTATTTAAAAATTTGCATACTTAATCTATGCATTAAAAATATGTTATACAAGAAATTTATTATGTGAATAATTTGTAACTTTTTATGCATTTGATTTATTTTATTATATAATTTAATTTTTTTGTGAACAAATTTGTTAGAAAAAGTATTATTATTATATTATTACATATTTATTTTATTATGTAGTAAATTTGATATTTCTTGTGTAAAAAATAAAATGTTATAATTTAATATTTATTAATTATTTAACTACACTAATTTATGTGAATTTTTTAGATATTGAGAAAAAAAATATGTTTGAAAAGGTACATAAAATAAATATACAAACTTTCTTTTTGACAAGCTGTCCTATCGACCCGTCAACTCAATCTTAATTAAGTGGGATAGAGCAAGACGTTTAACCTATTTTCACTTGATGGTCTGCCCATTTTTAGAAGAGCAAAGCTAAATAGGTCAAGCTGGCCCATTTTACTATCATTCATGTTTTATGTATAAAAGTCTTTCATAACTACATATATGTAATTAACTATGCTCAATTTTACACATTTCCTATACTCATTGACTTTATCTTATTTTATATTTAAATATATAATTTAAATTATAAAAATAATTAAGTAACAATATTAAATTATGAGGAGGGATCCGTTTACTCCAAGAGTAAGTCTACCTAGTAGGGATGACAATGGGGCCCCATGAGGGCGGGTAAACCCGCCCCAGCCCCGCTGAATGAAAATTGGCCCCACACCCACCCCATATCTGCGCGGGTATCCATTAAGCGGGTATCCATGAATTTCTTGAATACCCACGGATATCCATGGATATTTATAAAATTTTTAAGAAATTAAAAAAATATATTACAAATAATTTTAAGTTTATATTTTAATGTCATTGAAATATTAAAAATAAAAATTCAATGTTACTTTTGAACTTTTATTTAACGTTAATTTTGTTGAAATAATAATAAAAATTCAAGATAATCAATAATTTAAAATACATCAATCTCACAAGTTAAAGTCTTATCACAAAGCTAAAATAATTCAATTTCATAATTCCAAATGAAAGTAAACAACTTAAAATACATAAATCTTATTGGTCCAATCAAAGCTAGAAAATTAATCAAATTACATCCAAGATAATTTTATAACATGCTTAACACATGTCAGTAACTTCATCAACCTCACTTTTGTAAGAAAATAAGATGAGAGAGTGTAGTTTTAGGGTTATGTGGTACAAGGATAATTAGGATATTTAAGAAATAATATTAAACGGGTACCCGCGGGTATGGATATCATCATACCCGCCCCGCCCCATTTTTAAACGGGTAAAAATTTTTTCTTTTCCATTATCCTCGGGTACCCAATTAGCTTATCCATTTATTATCCGTAGTGGATTTTATCCACAGATACTCGCGGGTGCGGGTATTTTTTCCATCCCTATTACCTAGACTTACTCTGTTCAATAATTCATGTTCTACATCAAATTTCAACGACCCAATCATTGAATTTAAAGTTCTTAATGCATAGATTAAATATGCAAATTTTTAAAAATTTGAAAATCATTTGATACTTCGTCCCATTAATTCAAATCATTGTATAAAATAATTTTATGATTATCTATCAATTTGAATTAATGAAATAAAGTATCAAATGATTAATTTCAATTTTTTTTTTAAAATTTACAAATTTGATCTATGCATTAAGAATTTTAAATTTAACGGTTGGATCGCTCAAATTTGATTTAAAACATGAGTTATTGAACGAAATAAGTCTAGGTAAACTTACTTTTGGAGTAAACATATCCTTCCTCTTAAATTATATATTTCACCAAGATATAATTTAATTCTTAATTTTTTATTATAAAGTTTTTTCTTGTTTATTATTTTTATATATTATTTATATTATGATATAATTAATAACTTAAAATTCAATTTGTTTAAAATATATAAATAAATTAAATTTATAAAATATATGATGAGTTTCTTGTGAGTTTATCAGAACTAGATCAAACTTGACATAAGAGGATGAGTTTAAAATTTAATGAGAAAAATTAATCATTTTTAAACACAAACTTAATTACCCTACTTTTTATGGTGTAAATCGGGAAACAAAACCCATCTACAATCGTCTGGTACTCTCGTTGTTATGTTTAGTCTAAGTGTCTATATGCAGGTGTATGCAGGTGTTCTATGAACCAAATTAATGAGGGTAAACAAGTCCTTTTCTCAAATATGTTGTTATTAGAGCATCTCCAATAACAAATACTTGGAGAGTTTCTTAACCCAAACAATAAATCCTTCATAAAATTTACTATTAGGTGGTATGAAAGTTGTTTAAAATTTTTTTTAGGTTGCTTCTACAAGCAACAATTGCTTAAAAATAATAACATTAATTTCTAGCTGAAAAAAAAGAAAAAGGGAAGAGAAGAGGCGGAGCGATGGAGGAGGTGCGCGGCAGTGGAGGAGGCGTGGACGCGTGGTAGTCCACGCATAGCGCGACATGGTGTCCGCGTGTGGAGTGGTCGTCCGATGCGGTGGATCGATGCATGGAGCAATCGTTTGTCCGACGCGGTGATGTAGTACGGGAAAAAGAAAGAAGAAGAAAGAAAAAGAAAAAAAAAGAAAAGGAAAGAGAGAAGAAAAGGTCTATGGAGAAGAAGGAGATGATAGATGTATTTTTTATATATAAAAAGATAGTAATTTTTATTTAAGTATAAATAATATTACAGGAGGACTAAATTTTTTTGTTCAAATCTTCTTAATCTTGAATTTTGTTTCTGTCATTTTTAGTTAAATTTTAAGTTCAAATATTTTGCATAACATATATCCTAATTAATATCATTATCAGTATTATTATTATTAATTTTTTTTAAATCAATCATCTTGTATCGATATAATTCTAAAATCCCCAAAAATTTTAATATCTACAACCATTTTCAATGTATCTGATGTTTTCAATTTTTATATTAGTATGTATTTCAATCGTTACGTATTTTTATTTATATATGTTATGTAAATGTCATTGTTTTTAAATTAAAAAATTATTAAATATTTTGAATATGTTTTTTTTCAAAATTTTACCTGTCTGATGGACACACTAAGTCTTCTAGTAGTCCGAAGGCCGAACAAGACTCCCGACCTACTAATCTGATACGCTGAAGAGGGGGTTGGTACCTGCAAAAGGCACTCCGACGCTCAAGTCAGGACAAGCTCGAATCTCTAGGATAATTAATGAACAGAGACGTTACCTTTTGTCCTGAGCTATTTATACTGTCATTTATGGGCCCCGGACCCCATGGGCCTCGCAGCATACTTACCGTATTAGGTAATACACCCTAATCAACTAATTAACCCCTAATTACTTGATTAAAGGTAATAAGTGACGATAGGCCGATCCAGGTGGCCGATTGGCATTCGGCTGCCTGGTTCTGCCATTCAATGGCCGACAGGGTGGTGGCCGACCTCCCTACCCGTACACTGCCCCCCAGCCTTGAAGAAAGATGGAGCTTTCTTTAAGGGTAAAATGGAGACAGTGGCCCTGGTAAGGTGAACGGTTGCACATTTGTAACCGTTGGATCGTGTGAATCGAACGGTTACACAAATTCAAAAGTTGCATTTTCCCGCCCATTTGATGAGCCTATAAATAGGTGAGTGGTAGGGCCATTCGCACGTATTGCTCTCAACCGAATTGGGGTAGCCGAAGATCTCCGAAGCCGATCTGACTAGGAATTGTTCTGCAAAGAAATTGGTAAGCTTTTATAATCATGGTTGATACTTCTACGAGCTCTTCGGCCGACAGCTCTCGGTCGTCGTCATCCGAGGGGACATCGTCCAGCGAGTCAAGTCATCGAAGTACCGTTCGGCTGCCGATTGATGCCGATGGACCGAATGAGGGCGCTTCTTCTTCGGGGGAAACCTCTACTAGCGGGAGTGAAGAGGTTCAGGAAAAGACGAAGCGTGTCTCGAATCGGCAACGATACGGTCCCTCTGATGTGCCCGGTTACGAGTGGGTCAATGGGGAGGTAACTTCCTACTACTCACGTTACCGAGACATAACTATGATCACAAACCTGCTGGACTATACAAAATGCTTAAATTTTGACGCTAAGGAGGAGCCGTATCCGATTGGAGTTCGGTCTTGCCGAAATAACGCCTTCCCGAACCCAGACATTGTTTGTTTAGATCAAAGTGGCGCAAAGATGGAGTCATTTTATATGTACGACTGCCTCGTTCGGGACCTGAAGGTAAAGCTGCCGTTTGATGAGTTTACCATGGGGGTGCTGAAGGTGTTGAACGTTGCTCCTACTCAATTGCATCCGAATAGCTGGGCGCAATTGCAAGGTTTTAAGCACTTGTGTAAGTGTATCCACATCAAGCCTTCTCCACTCCTTTTTCTATATTTTTACTCTTCCCGACCTACTATACTGGCGAAGTGGCTCTCCTTGAGCCGAGTGGGTGATCGGCTACTGTTGGACAGTTTTACCTCGTCATATAAGAATTTTAAGGCGGGATATTTCCGGGTGACTATCAGGCCGAATGGACGGCGCTTTTTCTTTGGGGAGGATGATAAAAGTCTGTTCCCGCTGTACTGGACTCGTGCCCCTCGGCCTTACGACGTGGTGCCGAAGAAGATGTTGACGGCCGAAAAGCGGAATGACCTGAAGTTATTACTTCGCCTTCCTCGGTGCTTGCCGACTCGGGCTTTGATTAATGTGGTTGAATCTTCACGTTGGTGGAACGTCCTGATAGGTATGCTATCTGTCCTATTTGGAATGTGAGTTTAATTCCTATTGATTTTTACCTCATTATTCTTGCAGGAATCATGGTGACCAGCGGTGCCGATGAGCTGAACATCCGAAAACTCCTTATGGCTCGGTCAAAGCAAGTCCGACAAGCTGGAGGTGTAGGCACCTCGGATCCACCAGCGTTTTCTTTACTATGCAGTTGTGAATTTCCACGCTAATCACCATTGGATCATCTTGCTCAGGATCGATGCCTTGAAAATCAGCATCAGTGAAAGTTATTATTGGTAATCGTCGGGGAGGTTGCCTATCCACATTATTGACCGAACGAATAGCTCTAAGGTGTCTCTTTCGGGCAGAAGATGTCGAGCCGCCACCCGCAAATCCACCTGCGATTGTGTTTATGACCCTCCGACGTGAAGGTGCCGAATCATCTTTCTTTTCTTGCGACCTACTTCGCTCGCGCCGAGGTCTATCAGACCGATCCTGCCCATGCCGATCATTGTGTCGATACTGGGACGAGGAGCGGGGACGATATGAAGCTGGCCGATCCACAAAATTGTGCAACTTGCCTTGCTTGACCAAATCTTCAATTTTATCTTTTAAGGCGGCACACTCTTCAGTTGAGTGTCCGCGATTTCGGTGATACCTGCAGGTTTTGCTGGTATCGGCGCGTGGCGGAGTGGAAGCTCTCTTTGGAACCGCCAACACTTCTGCTGCCAAAGCTTGCTCCAGTATCGCGGCCCGGCTTGCATTAAGAGGGGTGTAATTGGAGTATTTGGGACCTCGCACGGGTCGGTCCCGAAGAGCTATTTCTTTGCCTCGCCCCCTGTATGTCTGTTCGATTGGTTTCTCAAGCTTGGCCGACTGGTCAGCCCGGGCCTGATTTCGAAATTCGGCCAACTCCTCCATTTGCATATATTTATCCGCTCTCCTGCGCAGATCATTCATATCTGAAGGAGGCTTCTTGCATAGGCTATTGACGAATGGCCCTGGTTTTAAAGCCGTCGTCAGGTGATGAAGTGCTACCGCCGGGTTAAGATCTCGGATTTCCAAGGCTGCCTTGTTGAACCGATCCATGAAAGTTCGAAGCGATTCTTTCTTATCTTGCCGAAGGCTAACCAACGACAAAGATGTCAAGCTATGAGGACGGCTTGTTGCAAACTGAACTGTGAATTGAGATGACAGAGTATTGAATGAGTCGATCGAGTTAGGGGGTAGCCGAGTGAACTAGCTCAACGCCCTACCCTTGAGGGATGTGGGGAAAATGCGACACAATGCAGCATCATCCGTAGTACTCAGGGTTACCTGCGTAAGAAAAACATCAAGATGTTCATCAAGATCAGTGGTACCATCATACTTATCAATGGGTAAAGATTTTCAATTGTCCAAAAGAGAGAGCTGCATTATGGAGGGGGTGAAAGGGTGTCGGTGTGAGCCGATAGTTGTCAAATCTGCGGGCCGACCGACAGTGGGTAAGGCTGAAGGGTGCTTTTCAGGTGCTACTGCCGAGGCATGAGGGACCGATGTATGGATCGTATGGGACTGGTGCGACCCTTGAGTTTGCGTATTGGTGACCTGAGTAGGGTTCCATGAGGTGTCTTGATTCCTTAGTGCCTCATTCTCAGCTTTCAAGGCCGAAAGCTCCCTAGCATATTTTTCTCGCTGTTGTTTCGTAGCCTCCATCTCTTGTTTCAATAGACGGACGGTTTCAGAAAGGTTGGTTTCATCCACCACCTCGACATGTTCTTCTTCGTGTTGCTGATCTACCGTGTTCGTCCTCCTTGTTATCGCCATTGTCTTGCTCGATTAATCTCTAAGATCGTCTCGGTTCGGCCCCACGGTGGGCGCCAAATGTACCTGTCTGATGGGCACACTAAGTCTTCTAGTAGTCCGAAGGCCGAACGAGACTCCCGACCCAGTAATCCGATACGCTGAAGAGGGGGTTGGTACCTGCAAAAGGCACTCCGACGCTCAAGTCAGGACAAGCTCGAATCTCTAGGATAATTAATGAACATTGACGTTACCTTTTGTCCTGAGCTATTTATACTGTCATTTATGGGCCCCGGACCCCATGGGCCTCGCAGCATACTTACCGTATTAGGTAATACACCTTAATCAACTAATTAACCCCTAATTACTTGATTAAAGGTAACAAGTGACAATAGGCCGATCCAGGTGGCCGATTGGCATTCGGCTGCCCGATTCTGCCATTCAGTGGCCGACAGGGTGGTGGCCGACCCCCCTACTTGTACAAAACTAATGAAAAATTTTGTTTTGATTTTTTTTTCTTAAAAATAATTTTGGAAAAGTTTATCTAAATAAACTATAGTATATTCTTCTTAAGTTTGGATGGGTTTAAAAAAAATGCATAAAATAGAAAGGTTAAGTTTGGATATTTATTGGAAATTAAAGAAGTTAAACTCAAGGGATAATTTTTTTTTACAAAAATAGTAGGTAGGATATGACACTTATTCCATGACTATCAAACATGCAACGGATGACACAAACTTAAGAAGACATGTCCACTAAAATAGGATTTTATGGTCACATAAATTTAAACTTGTTGGAGAGTTTTATATCAAGGAGCATTGTATACAATGAATAGTGAGAAAACTATAAAAGTAAACTTACACCACAATATAACATAAAATCTCATGACATTAGGTAGGTAAGTTTTTCTCAATTATATACTACTCAATATGCCCAACTTTAATCCATATGAGACTCATTCTGCACTTAAACTCCAATACTCTCCTCAAGTGTAAATCTCTTTCACATAATCATGTTCCCTCCTTAAGCAAAATTTTTTTTTCGTAATATTCAATGATGACTTTATTTTCACTGTCGTTGCACATGAATGACGCACATCTTCCACACCTCTAAAAAGACTTTCAGTACAAGTGATGCTCTCGTTCTTAGATCTCCTACCAATTCCATTATTCAAGATCTTACTCTTGGATCCATCCATTATCAATTATATTGGATCTATAAAAATATAATCCAACCAGAACGACCCGTTCTCCAACCAGAATGGCCCGTTCTCCACTACAAATTTCAGTTCAATTTAATAGCTTGGAACGGCCCGTTCCAGATTGGGAACGACCCGTTCTGGACTATTAAATCAACCACATTTTTTTTCTATGTTACAGTTTGAATGATATGAAATTTTGATCGTTCTGTAGGTGATTTTTGTGCATGTTGAGGGAATTCAGAACGGGTCGTTCCGGTATCGGTACAGGTCATTCTACCCATTTCGAAAAGTCTATAAATAGGGGTTGGGGGCCTTCAGGAGAATGTGAGTTTTTAGAGAGAAGTTTTAGAGAAAAGGTCTCTGGGTCTGTGAGCTCCTTTCTCTCCCAAATTTCTCTGTATGATTCCTTTTCTCCTCTAGACCACTAATGCCTTCTGTCTTTTCTTGAAATTCAGATTAGAAAGCTTATTTTGGGAGGATTGAAGTTCTGGGTTGAGCTTTGGAAGGGAATTCTATTTCGTCACAGTTGTTGGCTATTTTGAGCCGATCTTCAAGTGAGGGGAGCTAGAATGTTTGTTGTTTAGGTTGCATGTGAGTTTAGAAACTCAATAGGTGCATGAATGTTGAGAATCCATAGATGGATTGAAGAAAATCTCATTTTTGGAGTTTTGAGGAAAACGAGGATTTTGATGCATAGTTGGGATGCATGTGAGATTTAAGTGTATTTTGAGTCGTATGGAGCCTATGCATTGTGTTTTGTGTTTGCATGTGGTTGAATTTGTCAGTTTGGATGAGAGTTTTGAACTCTCTGATTGGGATTTAGGCCGAGCGCAGGTTGAGCGCGCCAGGCGTGGAGGAGCTTAGGGCTCTCGGGTTGGATGTTGGGTCAAGCGTGATTTGGTCACGTCAAACGTAGAGACTCTTAGGAGTCTCTGTCTCAAGGGCACCAAGCGTGAGTTAAACGCGCCAGGTGTGGATGAGTTTTAGGACTCTCAGGTTGGGATTAGGCTGGGCGAGCTAAGGCTACGCCGGGCGTGAATATGTTTATGAATGGATTGATGCTTATGCATGTTTAAAGTTGAAGTTTTAGATCATGTATGTATAATATGTGATGTATGGTGAGGTATGATTCATATGTATGATTTGTGATGATACGTATGAATGTTTAAATATGATATGACATGTGTATATGTTCATATGGTATGTTTATTGATCATAATGGTGGTAGACCATGTATGATGTGTGATGCATTATTGCATGTGATGCTTTATGGCATGAGTATGTTTATTGATCATGATGGTGGGTAGACCATGTATGATGTATGATGCATTATTGCATGTATCATACATCATACATGGTCTACCCACCATCATGATCAATAAACATACTCATGCCATAAAGCATCACATGCAATAATGCATCACACATCATACATGGTCTACCACCATTATGATCAATAAACATACCATATGAACATATACACATGTCATATCATATTTAAACATTCATACGTATCATCACAAATCATATATATGAATCATACCTCACCATACATCACATATTATACATACATGATCTAAAACTTCAACTTTAAACATGCATAAGCATCAATCCATTCATAAACATATTCACGCCCGGCGTAGCCTTAGCTCGCCCAGCCTAATCCCAACCTGAGAGTCCTAAAACTCATCCACACCTGGCGCGTTCAACTCATGCTTGGTGCCCTTGAGACAGAGACTCCTAAGAGTCTCTACGTTTGACACAACCAAATCACGCCTGACCCAACATCCAACCCGAGAGCCCTAAGCTCCTCTACGCCTGGCGCGCTCAACCTACGCCCGACCTAAATCCCAATCAGAGAGTTCAAAACTCTCATCCAAACTGACAAATTCAACCACATGCAAACACAAAACACAATGCATAGGCTCCATACGACTCAAAATACACTTAAATCTCACATGCATCCCAACTATGCATCAAAATCCTCGTTTTCCTCAAAACTCCAAAAATGAGATTTTCTTCAATCCATCTATGGATTCTCAACATTCATGCACCTATTGAGTTTCTAAACTCACATGCAACCTAAACAACAAACATTCTAGCTCCCCTCACTTGAAGATCGGCTCAAAATAGCCAACAACTGTGACGAAATAGAATTCCCTTCCAAAGCTCAACCCAGAACTTCAATCCTCCCAAAATAAGCTTTCTAATCTGAATTTCAAGAAAAGACAGAAGGCATTAGTGGTCTAGAGGAGAAAAGGAATCATACAGAGAAATTTGGGAGAGAAAGGAGCTCACAGACCCAGAGACCTTTTCTCTAAAACTTCTCTCTAAAAACTCACATTCTCCTGAAGGCCCCCAACCCCTATTTATAGACTTTTCGAAATGGGTAGAATGACCTGTACCGATACCGGAACGACCCGTTCTGAATTCCCTCAACATGCACAAAAATCACCTACAGAACGGCCTGTTCTGAAATCAGAACGGCCCGTTCTGGGACTCATACAGAACGGCCCGTTCTCATCCAGAACGGCCCGTACTCCCCTCCAGAACGGCCCGTTCTCCATCCAGAATGGCCCGTTCTCCAACCAGAACGACCCGTTCTCCAACCAGAATGGCCCGTTCTCCACTACAAATTTCAGTTCAATTTAATAGCTTGGAACGGCCCGTTCCAGATTGGGAACGACCCGTTCTGGACTATTAAATCAACCACATTTTTTTTCTATGTTACAGTTTGAATGATATGAAATTTTGTATATATATAATATCTAACATATCTTTTAATATTTTATTTAGGAAGTTGTTATTTATTATCCTTATAACACACTCAAAAAATATAAAATGTTCTCAAAAGGAGAAAGGCACAGCTTTTCAGGGTCTTGAAGGCAATCTAATTAAGACCTCCAAAAGAGTCTCAACACTTATTCCTCCTACTAATAACAATCAACAAAAATAATTCTAGTGGGAAAACAAAATGATTTTATGTTTGCAGACTTGTGAGTTGTCTTTCAATTAACATAATGAGATGTTAAATTTATAATTAATCATCAGAATGTTTGCCATTTTTAAAAAGAGCACCGACCCTCGTCTGAATGCATTCATGTTCAAGCATCTTAATTATTAGTTTAATGGGTTAATTACTATCACTAACACTCTGACTCACTTGCATGCTAGCTAGAGTTGACTCTAAAACTGCCTTCCCCTGTCCCAACTTCAGAAATTAGTAATCAAGTTCACAGAACTTTCAACATGAATGGAAAAGAATCTAATTGATTTTTTTTCTGGCCAAATGTATTTTCCGATTTATTTGTTCAGATACTAATTTCACTTGCACTTCTATGACTATCGTTGACTTAATCAATTTTCATTTATGATGAAAATTGAATGTAAACTTCTTGTTAGATCGTTCTTTCAATATATAAGTAAAATTTCTAATTAATATACAACTCATTAGCCGAATGATTTAAAAAAAGGAGAAAGAACCCAAAGTGATTTATTTGCATTTAAGAAACCATGTCATGTCCAAATATGCTCTCCCTTGAGAGAGAATCATAAATTACATTGCTAGATGAGGCATAGTTGAGGTATTGAGGGAGTTCATTTTGGAGAAGGTAAGATTTGTGATCTGGGTCTTGCATTTCTGGATTTGGCATCACTGGCTCCTGTTGCATCTGAATGCAGAATATCTCTGCTTGAGCCACTGCAAGCTGCATTTGAAGCTCAGAAACCTGGTTTTGCAGGTAGGATATGGCTCCAACACAACCATACACCGGGTCTCGAACTCTTGCATGTGCTTCATACACCAAACTACTCACAGCATCTGCTCTTTGGTGAAGAGGAAGTTCCTGAATCAATAGCATATATCTTAGAATTTGAGTCTAGTGTAACTCAACTCTAAAAAAATTAGTTGTTCTTTTCATGTGAACTATAATATCTCTTAACCAATAATCAGAAACTATTTCCTTCCTATACATAGATATTACTAAAGTAAGTTTTCTCTCTCGTAACAAAGTTTTCTCAATATATATAACAAGATAATCAAATATTTATTGGTATGTTTATGAAATTCAGTTATTTACCGATTTTGTTGAACTTATCAGTTTCTAAAAGCCAAATTTGTTGAGATGAAGGATGTTTCCAGACTCAAACACCATTTTAATCATATCACTGGTTATCGTGATATATGTGGAAGAAGTTAAAAAACCATTTTGAACTAAAAAAGTTATCAAACCCATGAAGTTAAAAGCAAATCTAATTGACCCCTTTTTTCATTTCACCTTTCATAATAAAGACTAAGCAAAGGAGACAGAGAGTGAATGAGTTACATACCTGGAGCATTTTACTAACATTGCTAGCACCAAAAACCTTGTGAACTAAGGCGAACTTTTGAGGATCGCTGGAAGGGAAATAAGGAGCAAAGATGCAGTCCTTGGTACACCTGCGTCTCAGAAGCTTACATGAAGCACACGGAGAATTCCCAGCCATTTGAATGTTGGAAAAAAGGGTAAATGCCAAAAAGAAAAAAAAAAAAAAACTTTGTTTTTGGGGTTTAAAGCTTAAAAGTATAAAGCAAGAAAAGAGGAAGTTAGGAAGAGAAAAGCAACTAAGCTTGAGAAAATGAGAGACAGGGAGTGTGTATTTATAATGGCCAACACCGTGTGAGGCTAGCCGCTAGCTTTTTGTGCAATAGTAGCTATGAGTATCACTTTCAAGCATCAACCCCACTCAACTTCAAAACATAATTATTTATTTTTTTATATCAAATTAATTAATGGCTTGGCTTATTTAATTTCCTATTGTGAGGTCGTGTATAATTTTAACACGAAAGAATTCATTACTCATTCTTTCTGAATTTTATCATGTGTTGCAGTTATGTTTGTGATGTCTGCAATGCATTTGAATAAAAAAGAAACTGTGCTTTGCCGATATTTTATCGAAGGAGCAAGTGAGCAATTGGGGACACGTTGTCAAATGGTGATTGGTCATTGGGTTCCTTACGAGAAATTTTGCATCATATCGCAAGTTGGTTATTGCAGAAATTTCAAGAGGGCTCAAAAGGCCTTCAGTGTCGAGATCGTTCTTGAACAAACGCTAATGACATAGGCTTAATCTGTACGATAAAACCAAGATACATTACTATATAGGTACAGTTAATATTACTTTCTTTGGAGTTTTATTCACTACTATGTGTATTAAACAATTTATTACATATCAATATATATTATTGTCAACTGTAATTATGGTTCTACATATAAATTTTATTCTTAAATGATATTTATGACATTTTTTTTAAATTAAATAGGAGCTTTTAGTTTGACTAGAATAAATTTTTATATTAATTCCTTGTTCCTTTGTTCTAAGTGAAACTTGACTTTTTTAATTATATTTTGAGCTCAAATCTTTAAAATAGAAATAAAAATGATTAAAAAGAAATATTTTATTAAAGATATTCAGATAAATTCTCTTATAGAAATTAATCATTAACAAAAATTGATGGATACTTTACAATAATAATATAGTTAAAAAATAATTTTTGTTTATTTCAAGGTACTCCCCAGTTTTAATTAGGATATATCGGCTTGACTTTGCACATAATATATATTTTCTTTTCAATTTCACTTCTATCTTGTACCTGTCTAAGGGTACACTCGTAATCTTCTAGTGAGTGGAGGGCCGAACAAGAACTTCAGGTGGATGCTTCAGAGGGGGAGGTACCTGCAAAAGGCACTCCGACGTTCAAGTCAGGACAAACACGATTCTCAAGAGTAATAAATAAACAGTGACATACCTCGTTTCGTGTGACCTATTTATACTACCTGTCATGGGCCTTAAACGTGGTGGGCTTCTTCTGACACTTACCAAATTAGGTAATACGGTGCTAATCGGCTGATTATGCCTTAATCGCACGTTTTCCCTTGTTAATCATGATCATCGTCCTAACTACTCTGGCTCTGTTGACCCTTAGCCGAGCCGATAGGAAAAGGTCGAGACAACCTCTTCGTTCTCGGCCTTTGGCCGAGCCGATAAGAAAAGGGTTGGGTTATCCCTAGATTTCGACCCTCTGCCGAGCCGAGGTCGTGTCTGAGAACTGCGTCAATGTCTGATAAGACATTACTTGTCGATCCACGTGGTCGATAGGATCCTTGTGCCGATGTTCGATAGGACATCACGTGTCGGTCCACGTGGCCGATAGGATCCTTCCAGTACATATCTCATTTTTTGTCATACTTTTCCTTTCATTTTTTATATTAAATTACTATGTTATTTTCTCTTTTCTCCATTTCTCTCTTCTTTCCAATCCATTTCGGGGGTAAACCTTAATCAGCACCCTTTAATTAAATTATTATAGGTATTTTTGGTACATATTCGACGTCGTATACTATGCTTCTTTTCAATTTTTAAAATAAAGTTAATCATTAAAAGTAAAAGGGACAGTAATTTACGGTGTCCTAGAGTTAAATTAAGTTGGATCCAAGATATAGAAGAGAAAACAAAATTATCTTACGAGTTATGAGTCTATATAATAAGCGGATTCATGTCCTATGGGAAGATAAATGGGGAATAAAATCAAAGGTTATTGTCGGCGCCACCAAAGGTTGTAAATTGCAATATAGTTGGGGTTAGCTAATGTGGCTTCCACGTTGTTTGACTCTGAAACAAGTGTCTGTTTAGTTGATCTTAGCTAAGAGTGTAGGACTAGGGTTTGTAAGAACCAGGTCAATATATACATGTTGTTGTGTGCACAAGGCATTTCTCTTTGATTTATAAAATTAATGAATTGAGTCAAACTATGCACTAGCACAACTACACAAAGAGAAAGTAATGTTAGCGTGTGTCACGTGAATGTTTGTATTTCTAACAAACATCCACGTTGAGCTTCATTAATTTCTTCGTCTGTGTATATATATAAAGAAGTGACCAAGTCTTGTATATAATTTTTCCATGAGTTTAGCTACGCATCATGACCAATAATATAATAAACGTCCGACCAATTAATTATATGTTTATATCTTCTAGTGAGTATGTGACACATATATAGCATCATTTAGTGAATTTGTGAGAACTCAAGAAAACCTAATGGGCTATTAGTTCTCTAATAAGTTAAAATATAGTATATGATATTTTGGTTTTAATTTGAAGTATGTTATCAACAATTTGCTTCTTAGTTACACAGAAACTGGAGTGCATTCAATTCATCTCGACTAGTCTTCGCCCATAGTTTAGCACTATTATTAGTGAACGGTTTTGGTTTTCTTGTTCGGTTATGAATTCATAGGCTGATGGTAGATCTTTCATATCAGAGGAAAATTCTACCCAATGAGAAACAAATACATCAGCAACTAATCATATATATATATAATGGATTTTATTTTTCACAAGTTGAAACGTAGAGAGGACTAATCTCGTGAGCTATGATTTTATCATTATCAACTTAGGCCCGTGTTTTTTTTTTTTTTTTTGTATTTTTTAAGAGATCATTTTTAATTAAAAGACACATTCAAAATATTTGTATGCATAAAAAATAGATCATTATTAATAAATAACTAAACATATAACAAATCCAAAATTTTAACCTTATTCTTTATTTTTTATGTGGAAGCAAAAAAATGACAAGTTTATATGCTAGAACAATATACCCAATGCCTTAAAATTTACTGCATGTTTAATTATTAAAGACAAATTCATTATCGCTTTATGATTTAAACGTTGTTTAATAACTATTGTGAAATTTTTTCAATAATTAATTGCGAACACAAACAAATAAAATTAATGACTTTGTGGAAGATAAGAGTGAGTAAGTTTTTTGTGGGATAAGTGAGTAAGAGTTTTTTTGTTATTCACTATACAGAAAATTATAGTCTTCTTATAACTAATATTTTAAGTTATTATTATTTTCTAATAGACTAACATTAAAATCAACTCATTTAAGTTTATATTATTTAATTTTATAGTTTAACGAATTTATTTAATTTGACTATATAAAATATAATCTAATGATAAATAATTAATATTATTATTTTATAATATTAACTTGTATTAATTATTGGAATATAAATTTCCAAAAAAAAAGTTTGTAAAATAACTCATAAAAAATCACAAGAGCTTTTTTTTTTTTTTTGGTTAAGTTTTAACAAAGCATTTTTTTTAATAACTAAGATGAGATCCACCTAGTAGTCCTCGTGACATAAAGATGAGATATAGAAGAAGAAAAAGTAAGATGGTTGAAGAGTATTGGTAGGAAGTAAATACTTCCCTTCTCACGGAATGTTTTAAACTCTTACCAATTGATTATTTTTTAATTACGCACTCAGAAATGGATTTCATCTAGCTATACATCAAATATTAATTAATAAATTGCATGCATGTATTTGTATTAATTAGGGCTAGCTTAGATTAGGCGGCCTCTATCATGGTAATTAAACTTCAAATTTGTAGTCTGTCTTGTTTAGAAGACCCTTAATGTGTATCGTATTCTCTCACTTCTTAGTTCATCCCAAATTAAATGATGGGACAAATTGTAGCCACTCCATTCCATTATTTTATTCTCTTTTAACCAACCACACGAAATGCATTTGTTCCATTTCTCAATTTTTACCTCCTATATATTAAATATGCTTTGAGAATGTTTTCATGTATTTCTCAATTGTGACCTTTCTCAATTTTCTTATGAGGTCACAGTTAAACGTAAGTGAAATTTTACGTATAATTAAAAATAACTTTGATGGGTTTTGAAGCTATTAATTTCCTATAATTCCATGATATTATTTTCTTATGATGATTTAGTTGAGAAAACATGTGTTCATTGTAAGAGTTTTGATAAAAACATGAATCAAGTTTGTAGAGAAGAGTTTTGAAAGTAAGAGAAAAAAAAAAAAACAATGAGGCTGATGGAAAATAATTCTTTTATAAAAGGTTTTGCTGTTTTAAATAGTGGTCTCTTTTGGTCTTTAATTTACCACACGGGAGAATATTTGTGACTATAATTTTATTGGATTGACTAATATGAGAATTCAGTGAATTTTGTTAATATTTTTTTATCATAGTAATGGATATGAATGTGAATCTAAGTTTTGCTTCACTTTAATTTATTAGTACGTATAAAATTGATAATATATATATATATATATATATATATATATATATATATA